GTTACCAGTTTGTCAAACTGTGGTGTCTTGCATGTTGCTGTGATGCTGGAAGCTATGTCACCAGTATTTCAAATACCAGCAGGGTCACCTTGGTGGACAGGTTTTAGCAGAGCTTCCAGACTAAGACTAGGAAAAAGAACATGGCAAGCTGCTTCTAAAAAAATTGGCAGTGAAAACCTTATGAATAGCAGTGGGACATTATCTGATATACTGCCAGAAGAATAGCGTCTAAGGTTGGAAGACACTCAAAATATGACTGGGGAAGAGCTGCCTCCCCAAAGTAGAGTCGACCTTAATGATGTGGATGGAGGAAAGCTTTCGGGACCTTCATTTGCTGATGTGGCACGACTAAAAATGAGAAGAAACAGCTGCAAACATCCATTAATAATCAGAATGTGGAATGTACGGAGTATGAATCTAGGAAAACTGGAAGCCATCAAATATGAAATGGAATGCACAAAGATCAATATCCTAGGCATTAGTGAGCTGAAATGGACTGGAACTGGCTGTTTTGAATCAGACAATCATACCAGAGATTGCATGATAGAATTTTGCAAGACCAACAATCTTCATTGCAAATACCTTTTTTCAACAACGTTAACAGTGACTATACATGTGGACTTCACCTACGGAATACAGAGGAATCAAACAGACTACATCTGTGGAAAGAGACAACGGAGAAGCTCAGTATCATCAGTCAGAACAAGGCCAGGGGCCAACTGCACAACAGACCATCAACTGCTGATATGCAAGTTCAAGCTGAAGCTGAAGAAAATTAAAACAAAGTCCACGAGAGCCAAAATACGACCTTGAATATATTCCACCTGAATTTAGAGACCATTTCAAGAACAGATTTGATGCATTGAACAGTAATGACCATAAACCAGACAAGTTGTGCAATGACATCAAGGACATCATACCTAAAGAAAGCAAAAGGTCATTAAAAAGACAGGCAAGAAAGAAAAGTTCAAAATGGATTTCACAAGAGACTCTGAAACTTGCTCTTGAATATAGATTAGCTAAAGCAAAGGGAAGAAATTATCATGTAAAAGAGCTCAACAGAAGATTTCAAAGGGCAGCTCAAGAAGATAAAGTATTATGATGGAATGTGCAAACACCTGGAATTAGAAATCCAAAGGGAAAAACACTCGGTGTTTCTCAAGATAAAAGAACTGAAGAAAAAATTCAAGTCTCAAGGTGCAATACTGAAGGATTCTACGGGCAAAATATTGAACAACACAGGAAGCATCAAAATAAGTCAGAATGAATACACAGAGTCATTGTACCAAAAAGAATTGGTCGACATTCTACCATTTCAGAAGGTAGCATATCATCAAAAACCAATGGTATGGAAAGAAGAAGTCCAAGCTGCAATGAAGGCACTGACCAAAAACAAGGCTCCAGGAATTGACGGAATACCAATTGAGATGTTTCAACAAACAGACGTAGCACTGAAGATGCTCACTTGTGTATGCTAAGAAATTTGGAAGACAGCTTACCTGGCCTACTGACTGGAGGAGGTCCATATCTGTGCCCATTCCAAAGAAAGGTGATCCATCAGAGTGTGGAAATTAGCAAAAGTATCATTAATATCACACACAAGTAAAATGCTGCTGAAGATAATTCAAAAGCACTTGCAGCAGTACATAGACAGGGAACTTCCAGAAATTCAAGCCAGATTCAGAAGAGGATCTGGAATGAGGGATATCACTGCTGATGTCAGATGGATCTTGTCTGAAAGCAGAGAATAGGAGAAAGATGTTTACCTGTGTTTCACTGACTACAGAAAGGCATTCAACTCTGTGGATCACAACAAATTATGGATAACACTGCAAAGTATGGGAATTCCAGAACACTTCGTTGTGCTCATGAGGAAACTGTACACAGATCAACAGGCAGTTGTTTGAAAAGAATGAGTGGATACTGCGTGGTTTAAAATCAGGAATGGTGTGTATCAGGATTGTATCCTTTCACCATACTTACTCAATATGTATGCTGAGCAAATAATCCGAGAAGATGGAATATATGAAGAAGAATGCAGCATCAGGATTGGAGGAAGACTCATTAACAACCTGCGATATGCAGATGACACAACCTTGCTCGCTGAAAGCGAAGAGGAATTGAAGCACTTACTGATGAAGATAAAAGACCACAGCCTTCAGTATGGATTATACCTCAACATAAAGAAAACAAAAACGCTCACAACTAGACCAATAAGCAACATCATGATAAACAGGAAAAGATTGAAGTTGTCAAGGATTTCATTTTACTTTGCTCCACAATTAACACCCATAGAAGCAGCAGTCAAGAAATCAAACGACAGATTGCGCTGGGCAAATCTGCTGCAAAAGACCTCTTTAAAGTGTTAAAAAGAAAAGATGTTGCTTTGATGACTAAGGTGCATCTGACCCAATCCACTGTATTTTAAATCGCCTCATATAAATGTGAAAGCTGGACAATGAATAAGAAAGACCAAAGAAGAATTGATGCCCTTGAATTATGGTGCTGATGAAGAATACTGAATATACCATGGACTGCCAGAAGAATAAACAAATCTGTTTTGGAAGAAGTACAGCCAGAATGCTCCTTGGAAGCAAGGATGGTGAGACTTTGTCTCATGTACTTTTAACATGTTATCAGGAGGGACCAGTCCCTAGAGAAGGACACCATGCTTAATAACGTAGAGGGTCAGCGAAAAAGAGGAAGGCTCTCAACCAGATTTACTGACACAGTGGCTGCAACACTGGACTCAAACACAGCAGCGATTGTGAGGATGGCACAGGACCCGGCAGTGTTTTGTTCCGTCATACACGGGGTTGCTACGAGTCAGAACCAACTCTACGGCACCTAACAACAACAACAGGCATCAGAGACCACAAAAGGACATCTGACAAGTTGGAGGACTCACACTCCCCGATTTCAAAGCTTACTACAAAGTTACAGTAATCAAACCATGAGGTACTGTATAAGGATAGACATATAGACCAATGAAATAAAATTGAAAGTCCATATACAAACCCTCACATTTATGGTCAGTTGCGTTTTGATAAGGATACCAAGACCATTCAATAGGAAAAGAATAGTCTCTTCAACAAGTAGTGCTGGGAAATAAAACAGCTACATGCAAAAGAACAAAATTGGACCTTTACCTCACCTCGTATACAAATATTAATTCAAAGTGGATCAAAGAGCTAAATATAAGAATTAAAACTATAAAACTCTCAGAAGAAAACACAGAGGTAAATCTTCATAATCTTGGATTTGGCAAAGGATTCTTAAATACGACACCAAAAAGCAAAAGATAAAACTGCGCATTATCAAAATTTAAAACTTTTGTGCTTCAAAGTACACCATCAAGAAAGTAAAAAGTCTTTTGTACAAGGAAAGTTCATGGACGCTCCATAGACACATCCAAACTCCCTGAGGGACCAAATTGCTGGGCTGAGGGCTGTGGGGATCATGGTCTCGGGGAACATCTAGCTCAACTGGCATAACAGTTTACAAGGAAAATGTTCTACATTCTACCTTGGTGAGTAGTGTCTCGGGTCTTAAAAGCCTGCGAGCAGCCACCTAAGATACTCCACTGGTCTCACTCCTTCACGAGCAAGGGAGAATGAGGAAAACAAGATACAAAGGAAAGATTAGTCCAAAGGAGTAACGGACCACAACTACCACGGCCTCCACCAGACTGAGTCCAGTATAACTAGATGGTGCCCAGCTACCACCACTGACTGCTCTAACAGGGATCACAACAGAGGGTCCTGGACAGAGCTGGAGAAGAATGTAGAACAAAATTCCAACTCACAAAAAAAGACCAGACTTACTGGTCTGACAGAGACCAGAGAAACCCCCAGAGTATGGCCCCCAGATACCCTTTTAGCTCAGTAACAAAGTCACTCTAGAGGTTCACCCTTCAGCCAAAGATTGGACAGCCCCATAAAACAAAACGAGGGTAATGGGGCACAATAGTCCAGGGACAAGGACTAGAAGGCCAGAGGGGACAGGAAAGCTGGTAATAGGGAACCCAAGGTTGAGAAGGGACAGTGCTGACATGTCATGGGGTTGTTAACCAATGTCATAAAACAATATGTGTACTAACTGTTTAAACTATTTGTTCTATAAACCTTCATCTAAAGTACAACAAAAAACCAAATTTTTAAAGTAAAAAGTTTTATCAGAGAAGCAGAGCAACTATGAGTGATAAGAATAGGAATGTATTATAAGGACTTGACCAGCAATTGTGGGAAATGATTAAGCAGTTCATGTAGAGTTGCTGCCTCTCATTTAGTGCTGGGACAGAAGTCGGCAGGGTTGGCAATCGGGAGGAAAGATGATGTGAAGTGGAGAAGGGCAAGGACAAACCGGAACTCGCATCTCTCTCTCACCAACCTTGATGATATGGGGGAACGGTAAGAGAAGCCCACACACCTTATCCAGGATATGGAAAATCCTAAGGGAGAAGGTCAGTGGGAATTGGAGGAGCTGTAGGCTGCTACTTGAGGCCAGCACAGATCAGCGATAAGGAATACGAGCTCAGCAGTGCCTGGCCTTACACCAACCTTCTGAACATAAACACAGCTGCTGCTTCACTTCCACCTTACAAATCTTGTGCAAATTTCTCTTCTGGCCAACCTGACCTAGAACCATACTGGAAAAGGAAATCTCAGGAAAATTGTTCCAGCTCAATTATGTTGACACAATACAAAGCCACCACAAGTTACATGGATATTTTCTTCTTCTATCTCTTCTATTCTTTCTGTATAATTATGTTTTAGGACTATCTTTTATAAACAGCACATAGCTGGATTTTTCTTTCATCGTATCTGAGACTCTATCATTTTAACTGTCATGTTTAACCCATTTACATTCATTGGGATTTAGGACTTCCATAACTGAAAAAAGGAATTGTTTTTTTAAACAAAATAAAGTAATATTTGTACCAAAGACATATGCGTGCTTTGCATTTCTGAAGTATTTTATACACATAACTTGTTACTTACCACTTCTCCAGCAGAGGCAGCCAACATATGCTTCACAGGCATCAAATACGAGGATGAATCAGTGTTCAGAAACCATTTCACATATTCATAGGTGATAAAAAAGGCAGCAGCTGAAATTTAAAACAAGCCAGTCTTTCACACAAAGTCTAAACATATATTTAAACTATTAAGAAATACGACATGTTTCTCAAAGAAGTACAACTCAAATTATTAAATTGTGAGATAAGACATAAATATTAAACATGTCCCTTTACCCCTTCACTCTTTCAGAATTTACTGAGCCCACATTATGTGCTTGACCCTGGACTTACGAAGATGAAGACATGATCCCTGCCCTGAGGGAACCTAACAGCTAACCTAGTATTTACCACCTTGTACTGACAAGTCAGGAGCCCTGGTGGCACGATGGTTAAGCTCTCGGCTGCTAACCAAAGTCGGCAGTTTGAATCCACCAGCTGCTCCGCTGGAGAAAACACCTGGTGACCTGCTCCCATAAAGATTACAGCCTAGGAAACCCTATGGGGCAGTTCTACTCTGTCATATAGGTCACTATGAGTCGGAACCAACTAGAGGGCACACAACAGCAACAAAGACAAGTCACTTATCATTCTGGTAAGCTTTCTAGAAAAGGGTATAGGGTTCAATGATCCATATCCTATTTTGGATCCATGATCAGGGGATTCTGGATCAGTGCATCTGATTTTAGATCTTATTTTGGATCACTGTATCTGATTCTTTGTTTTATGACCACGATGTAATGATATTCTGGATAATTTGGGATAATATCATTACATGGTGGTCATAAAAGAATTAGATACACTGATTTATCGAGTTGTTGTCAAGTCGATTGTAACTCATGGCAACCCCATTTGTTTCAGGGTAGAACTGTGCTCCATAGAGTTTCAATGGCTATGATGATTTGGAAGCAGATCTCCAGGCTTTCTTCCAAGGCGCCTCTGGGTGGGTTCAAACTGCCAACCTTCAATTAGTAGCTGAGCACTTAACCATTTGCACTACCCAAGGACTCCATATTGATTTACAGACAGGTTAAAATGGCAAACACACACCTTAACTTCAATAAAACATCATTCCATAATGTTTTATTGCTGGTTACTCAAAACTATGGCTGTTTTTTACTACACCAACTCATCTTTACATCAAAGAAACAATCAACTATTTAATTAAAACTGAAAATAGAAATCTCAAAAAGCTGCCCCTATCATCATGAACTAATCTTAGCTGGATGTGAGGGCTTTAAGACCTTCCATGTAGTGTTAATCAAAAGATGTTTATCACTTCCAAAAAAGATAAGGCATGAAAGATAAATGAATGACAAATTCATCTTTTGAAGGACATCTGAACATGTCACAGTAAAGTCTGAAACATTCCTGGAAACAGCTTGACAGTAACAATCAGTCCTCCAAAGTTAAAGCTAATAAGCTTGTAAACATCCTTAAGCTGCTAAAAAACACACACCATGCCAAATGAGGAGGCATGCTGTCCACAGACGAGTACCGTGTTTTTACACAAATAACACGCACCTTCTACGTTTGTTTGCCAACTACGCCACCCCTGAAGTATTTTCATAAGTGTGTTATGCTTATTTTTTTACAGCAACATGTAAAAAAAATTGGCATAGCAGCACTTATGAAAATATCTCACAGGAGAGCACAGCTGGCAAACTTAGAAGGAACACATTATTTGCACAAAAATACGATAACTGCCAATTCAAGCAGTTTTATACTAACAGGTCCTTATTCCCATTTGTAGCTTTTCCTACTTTGGCCCATTCACTGAATGTACAGCTATATTTCTAATTGCATTCATCCTTAAGTTCTGACTGCTACACCCCCCACCCTCCATGGGACAAGGAAGAAAGACAGCACTCAAAGTTTCTAGGTTCTCAGGGTCAACCACCAGAATCTTGCCTGACTTTACTGCAACTTTTGTGATATACAAGGTCCTTTAGAAATGTAAGTCCGTGTCATAGATTGAGTTGTGTCCCCCAAAAATATGTGTATCAGTTTGGCTAGGCCATGATTCCCAGTATTGTGTGATTGTCTACCATTTTGTCATCTGATGCAATTTTCCTAGGTGTTGTAAATTTTCTCTCTATGATGTTGATGAGCTGGGATTAGTGGCAGTTATGTTAATGACGCAGGACCCAATCTACAAGATTAGATTGTGTCTTGAGCCAATCTCTTTTGAGATATAAAAGAGAGAAGCAAGCAGAGAGACAGGGGGACCTTATACCACCAAGAAAGTAGCACCAGGAGCATAACGTGTACTTTGGACCCAGGGTCCCTGCACCTGAGAAGCTCCTAGACCAGGGGAAGACTGCTGAGAAGGACCTTCCTCCAGAGCTGACAGAGAGAAAGCCTTCCCCTGGAGCTGATGCCCTGAATTTAGACTTCTAGCTTACCAGACTGTGAGAGAATAAACTTCTGTTTGTTGAAGCCATTCACTTATAGTATTTCCGTTATAGCAGCACTAGATGACTAAGACAGTCCCCAGATCCTGCTGCGTCACATCCAAGAAGTAGATGCTAATTGGAAATGATGGCACAATAAGGTTCTGAGCAAGTTACAACAGGGAAAGTGTGTGTTGGGAGGGTGGTAATGGTCTATGGGATACCTAAAGATTCCTTCTAATTCTAAAAAAAAAAAAAAGCTATAGTTTTCTACGTTCCCTTCTAAACAGGGAGCAAGGCTCCTAAATAAGGGTCTTTTCTTTCTCCTTGTTCAAAGAAGCCCTGGTAGCACAGTGGTTAAAGTGTTTGGGTGCTAACTGAGAGGTCAGTGGTTCAAACCCACCAGCCCCACTGTGGGATAAAGATGTGGCAGGCTGCGTCGGTAAGGATTTACAGCCTTGGAAACCCTATAGGGCAGTTCTGCCCTGTCCTTACAGGGTCACTATGAGTCAGAACTGACTCAGTGGCAATGGGTTTGGTTTTGGTCTTCTCCTTGGTTCAACCTTCAGGTCCTCCATCCCTAACCCGTGCCCCTGCACAATACATTCTCAAAAAGTCTCCAGACACTGATGATTATACTAGTGCACTGTACTCAGACCAGAACCTTAACCAATAGCAAAGGAAAAACAAGGCACCACATAGAAAAGTTCCAGTTATCAAAATTTTGCCAAGAAACAATAAAGCCATTTCTGAAATCCTGCCATTGTGGCTACTTCTCCAGCATCTCCAATTCACTGAAATTTTGTGGATGGCAAAAAAAGAAAAACAAAGCTAGAATACTGCTGTCTCACTCCACAAAAATTCAAAACCACGTTCTGTATCTAAACTCCTGCTGACAACCATCTAAAATAGTCCTATGAGCTTAATGACTGAGATATCTATCTACTTATCTATTATAGACTTTATTTTTACACAAATAACATGCACCTTCTATGCTTGTGGAGCCCTGGTGGTGCAGTGTTAAGCGTTCAACTGCTAACCAAAAGGTCAGCAGTTTGAATCCACCAGCCAGTCCTTAGAAACCCTATGGAGCAGTTCTACTCTGTCCTATAGGGTCACTATGAGTCAGAATCGACTCGACAGCAACAGGGTTTAGGTCTGTGTCTGTCAATGGCTCCCTCCCCCCATGAGGTACTTTTGTAAGCGCTGCTATGCCAATTTTTTACATGACGCTGTAAACAAATTAGCTCAGCACACTTACAAAAATACCTCACAGGGGGAGAAAGCAGTTGACAAACACAGAACGTGAGTGTTATCTGTGTAAAAAATATATATAGACACAAACACAAACGTATATTAATACATAATAATATATATAATAGAATATGTAACATAATAAATATGATTATATATAATATGAATATAATAATATTAATGATCTATATGGAGCCCTTGTGGCACAGTGGTTAAGCACTTGGCTGCTAACCAAAAAGTCAGCAGTTTAAACCCACCCATTGGCTCTGTGGGAGAAAAGACCTGGCAATCTGCTATTCTAAAGATTACAGCCTAGGAAACCCTATGGAGCAGTTCTACTCTGTCCTACAGGGTCGCTATGAGTCAGAATGGACTCAACAGCAATGGTAATGATATATATAAATATTATACCAACAAGAATTTTTATATGCAATACGTAAAAGAAGAAGATCTTTAGAACAATGAGTGCAAATGAGGGAGACAACATTAAAACTGGTGACCCAAAGATAGAGACCTGGTGGCATAATCCTTTCCATTCCCTAGTTCAATGGTTCTCAAACTTGCCTGCATACTGGAACCGCCTGAGGATTCTCTTTTTTAAAATTCCAAAGCCCAAGCCACACCTCCGACCAATTAAATTGAATCTTTAGGGGTGGGACACAGGCATCAGTACTTTTTTTAAGTTCTTCAGGTGATCAGGTCATTCCAACGTGGACAAATTTGGGAACCACTGCTCCATCCCACACTTAGAGCTCTGCGTGGCATGGAGTGGGTGCTCAACAGTAACTTATAATAATTGTTATAATCTATTACTTTAAGTATTAAAAAATACAGAAGTTCCAGGATAACCTCAAAACAGTTTGCTATTCTAAGGACCGCTAGGGAGTAGAGGGAGAGAGAAACGAAAGAACGGAAACACTCTTTTTCTCTTTGCACTACAAATCTTTAAGTGAATGCTATGCTTACAGATGGACATTTAAATGTCAAGTTAACATGAAAGAATTTCTCATGAATTATCTTGAGGAAAAAAGAAAGCAAACTCAAGGATTTTAGAATTTTCTATAGAGCAGTGGTTTTCACGGAGAAGGGTTTTTTCTTTGTTTGCTTAGTTTAATTTTGAGTGCCACAGGAAGTATCAGGAAAAAGTGTATCAACCAGTGGATTAAATGAAACAGATGACACTGATTATAGAATAAAAGGACCATAAGTCAAATAATGAGACTTCAGAACCAAAACACGACACTGGAAGGAAATTGCCCAGGAGGAGGTTAGATGACTGCATTATCTAAAAGCAATTTACTTCAGACAGAAAGATTTAATGCCTCCTAGGTTCACCTGCTCCACAAGACTCTCCAAGGCAATGGTTATCAAACTCAGCTTCAAACTGGCATCACCTGGGGAGCTATTTAAAAACCCTGATACCCAGGCAAAGCCTAGACCAATTAAAACTCTGGTGGTGAGACACAGACATCAGTATTCTTTAAAGCTTCCCAAGAGATTCTAACTGTGTGGGCAAAGCTGAGAACCACTGCTCTAAGGGATCGCAATCAATGTTAGGATACCACTTTAAGGGTTCTAACTAGGAATTATAATGACAAAAACCATTCTAAAAAGACTGCGCATATGTTTTCTATTACAAATATACTGAAATAGAATCTACAATACTGGCTGATTCAAAAGTAATGGGGTGATGAATACAAAACAAATTTAAACTACAACACATGAGGGATTCCGGGGGTTGTGGGGGGTAGTATCACACATCCTTCTGAAAACAAATCCCCATTACCTTGGGTTTATAGCAGTGAAAATATCAATATAATTTTTACCATTAGGAAAGGATCCAATAGCAGCAGAAGGAACACCAGCATATATTCCACGAAAACCACCAGCCTTATTAAATCCTTGGGGACTCTGTAGCCTTGTTTTAATGGTATCCAGAGGAAATAATATCAAGTCAACAGAAACACCTGCTACCCCACCAGCCTTTAAAAAAAAAAAAAAAAACAGAAGAGGGAGAGAAAAAGAAAAACAAGGTTACAATAAAATAAACTCTCTGCAATTTAGGAACAGGGATAGGAAGAAGGTAATCATTAAAGGATATTGCTTGTACTTCTCAGTGCATGAACTACTTTGGCATAGTCAAAGGACCTCCACGAAAATCTGGTGATTTTCTTGGGAAAATAACCATTACCATGCTATATTTTCAAATACTAAATTTTATATTAAACTTTATTTTTGAATTCTTTTTTTATATAGTATTCACAATGTTCAAAAAAGTTAAAAAGAAAATTTCAGAAAAGTAAAGCGTTCAAAGTCTCCTCCCCACCCCTGTTCTCCATTTGCCTAATTCCCAAAAACTCACATAATCACTTTTATTGGCTTCTTGTTGTACTCTCCCAGAGTTTCTTTAACCATATACAAGCAAATATGAGTATAAAATTTCATGTAACAGTTTATCTTGACTATCTTTCCATATCAGCCCAAGTGTTATATTTTTGTCTTTTTATAACTAATGAGTAGCAAATCTGCATTAAGACTTTTTTTGAGACTTGCATTTTGAAACAGCTAATTATCCTTGTGCGTCCAGAACCATATTTTAAAAATCACACAGCTAAGGAGTCACATAATATTTTCTCTACTTTGTGCATATCTGAAATTTCTTGATAATTTTTAAATTTAGTTTTTACAAAAGGAGTCAGACATTAAAACCTGACCCAAACTAGCCATCTCCCAAGAGACACCATGTTGCTTTGGAGAAGCTGCACTTTAAAAACTAAATGTGCATATCACGATTATGGTGAAGCAGATGTAAAATATTTTAAAACCAGTTACACCTTAGTCAAAGCAGAAAGAAATTCAGAAGAATATAAACACAAAGGCAGTGTCAAAGAAAGGTCAATACACAAGGTAAAGAGGCAACATTTAAAGTTGTGAATCAAAATCAGTTTACGATAAGCAAAGACGGAAGAACTACAAAGAGGAAAACTCTCAACAAAGAGATGTACAGGTAGTTCTCAACTTACAACGGGGTTCTGTTCTGAAGACTCTGTAGTAAGTCAGTTCTGACATAATACCTCTTTTTTTTTTTTAGTTTTCATTATTATTACCTTTTACCATCAATATCTTTAGAAATCCACTCTATTTGTCTTTGGGGGCTGGCATGAGAATGATAACATCAGCAAATCACACACTGCAATACTGTAGTACATATTACTAACAATAAGACGTACCAAAAAAAAAAACAAACGAAGGGTCGTAAGTGTGGTTCTTCGTAACTCGAATATGTGGTAAGTCGAAGGCTACCTGTAGTCACCACATAGTAAATTTTAAATTAAATTGCTGACTTTTCCTATCTTTTGAGTTTTGAACCATATGAATATACTACTATTCAAACAGACAGGCAAAATTCAAACTGATCAACTTTACCATCATTTGAGTTTACAAAATACACAAAGTACCTAGCAAACACTCTCTGCTCTACTTGCCATTCACCATAAAACCACTGCCAAGAGTAAACTGAAGAAATGAAACTACTTTGATGAGAAATCCAATATCATCTACTTTTAAATTACCTAGCCTAGGTAAACTAGCCACTCTGTTTGTCATACTGTGGTGGCTTGCATGTTGCTGTGATGTTGGAAGCTATGCCACCAGTATTTCAAATACTAGCACAATAACCCATGGTAGACAGGCTTCAGCAGAGCTTCTAGACTAAGACAGACTAGGAAGAAGAACCTGGTGATCTACTTCTTAAAAAACTGGCCAGTGAAATCTTACATCTTTAAAAAGCAAAGATGTCACTTTGAGGATGAAGGTGCACCTGACCCAAGCCATAGTATTTTCAATCACTTCATATGCATGCAAAAGCTGGACAATGAATAAGGAAGATGGAAAAAGAATTGATGCCTTTGAATTAGGGTGTTGGTAAAGAATATTGAATATACCATGGACTGCCAGAAGAATGAACAAATCTGTCTTGGAAGAAGTACAGTGAGAATGCTCCTTAGAAGCAAGGATGGCAAGACGTCGTTTCACATACTTTGGACATGTTATCAGGAGGGACCAGTCCCTGGAGAAGGACATCATGCTTGGTAAAGTAGAGGGTCAGTGAAAAAGAGGAAGATACTTAATGAGATGGTTTGACAAAGTAGCTGCAATGATGGGCTCAAACAGAGCAACGATTGTGAGGATGGCACAGGACCAGGCAGTGCTTCATTCTGCTGTATGTGGGGTTGCTATGAGCCAGAAACAACTCGACAGCACCTAACAAATACAGGCAAATTATTAAATATTAGTTTACATTACCTTAAATGTTAATACTCTATGTATGATATGATCAGCCTGGAAGACATGAAAGAACCTCAAAGATCATGATGATCTACTCCAAGAACGAACTAAGAAGATGTCACCAAAAAGTTCAGTAATATGGCAGTAGAGAACCACCAAGTGGCAGTAGAAGAACAATTTAAAAAAAAAAAAAAAAGGTGGGATTTCTTTCTGGATGTCAAGGTGGCCTTTCTAAGTCATGGGAAAAGATTTACAGGTAACATAAACCAAAAACCAAACCTGATGCCGTCAAGTCAATTTCAACTCATTGCAACCTACAGGACAGGGTAACACTGCCCCATAAAATTTCCAAGAGTGCCTGGTGGTCTCGAACCACCAACCGTTTGGTTAGCAGCCGTAGCTCTTAACCACTATGCCACCAGGGTTTCCTACAGGTAACAAAGAAAAGTAAAAAAGCCAATCTTTTCCAGAATTTTTCTTACTTTTTTAAGGATTTTATAAAATTCAGTATGTAAATATTTTGCCTGTCTTCTTCATTTTCTCAAAGAATGGAAAGAATAAAATCCTGGTGAGCATGTCTGATAAAAGTGGATTCTTTAAAAATATGCTGTTCTTCATTCTAATTTTCTCTTTAATCTTAGGAGAGGGTTCAGAGAGGTGCTTGCTATCTACTGCTAAATTTTAATGAATAAGTTAATTACTCTTTTAATCTATTTGGCTACTTTGCATGCATTGATTCTCTAACTCTTCTTTCATCGGAATTCTTACCTTCTGAGAATAAAATGACCAGATTCAATCTACTTATCTAGGAAAACATGAATCAACAGTGATTAATTGCCTGTGTGGATTTCAAACTTCTATAACCTAAATGTCATTTAAATTCATGAGACCAAACAAAAATCAGCTAACAGAAAACCTGAGGAATAAGAATACCTATATATTTAGCCACTGTTACGGATTGACAAGGAACCCTGGTGGTACAGTGGTTAAAGCAGTCGGCTGCTAATTGAAAAGTTGGTGGTTCAAACCCACCAGCCACTCCACAAAAGAAAGATGTGGCAGTCTGCTTCCATAAAGATTTACAGCCTTGGAAACTCTATAGAGTTGCTGTAAATTGGAATCAACTCGACAGCAGTAGGTTCGGTTTGGTTTTTGGTTATGGATTGTTGTCCAAAAAAAATACGTGTTGTAAATCCTAACCCCTACACCTGTGGTTATAATCCCATTTGGGAATGGGTTTTCTTTGTTAAGAGGCCATATCAGTCTAGGGTGTGTTTTAAGCCAATCACCTTTGAGATATAAAAAGAGCAGATTAGGCAAAGACAACCTAGTAGAGACGAGGGGAAGTTAGATGCCACACGACATGAAGATATCCAAGGAACAACGACCTTCCCCCAGAGCCAACAGAAAGAGAAAGCCTTCCCCTAGAGCGGGCACCCTAAATTTGGACTTTTAGCCTCCTAAACTGTGTGAAAATTAATTTCTGTTTGTTACAGCCACCCACTGTGGTATTTCTGTTACAGCAGCACTAGATAGCTAAGATAGCCACAAAGCAACATATTTAAGATTTAAACAAAAACTTTAAGCGATGCTTATAACTTTACATGAAATATTATTTTGTATACAGTTATATATAAAATATACAAGCCAGCATCGACTGAATTCTAAGGAACTCTAGGGTTTTCTACTAAATTCTTTTATTCTTTAGCCTGAAAAGTTTGTTTTGTTTAAGATCATTTATTAAAAAGGTTAGTTTTGATTAGTAAATGACGAGTTTCAAGATTTATGGTAGCTTACACTGAAAAATCTTAAGTTATGAATTATACAAAAGAACATTTTTTGTCTGAAGAAATAGAACATTACCCAGATAACCAGCAAGCCTCACTACAGCATGACAATTTATTGAGACCTCGAGGATATATAGATAAAATACACATCTCTACCTTAAGTTAACAAAGCTAAAAAGTGCTGCCAGGCTGTTGAGAGGAGTGTCTGATGAGTGCTTTCAAATCACTCTGAGAGTTGAAAAAGGTCAGGCTTACATGTTACAAAACATTTTTTCTCAAAAGGATGCTAGCACAATAATAATAACAGAGAAAAAAAATCACTGCTGCACCAAAACCAAAAACCCTTTGCCATCCAGTCAATTACAACTCATAGTGACCTTATAGGACAAGGTAGAACTGCCCCATAGGGTTTCCAAGGAGCGCTTGGTGAATTCAAACTGCCTACCTTTTGGTTAGCAGTTGAACTCTTAACCACTATGCCACCACGGTTTCCCACTGCTGCCCAGCTACAGGACAAAACCAAACCATCTGAATAATTTAAGTATAATCATCGAAGGCCATTGGCCTAAAAGACACCTTAAGAAGAACCAGCCAGAACATTAACCTGGCTTCTCAGGGAAAACGCCCCTCCCATCAAAGCCTGACATTCGCAGTTTCCGCCACAACCAAGTGGCCACCAGTGACTTTAACCACCATCCTCCTCATTGCAGACGGCTGCCTCTGCTCCCTGTGATACCGGTCTTCTCCCCCATCCCTCATTCACTCTTCCTGCAGCACTTCTTGCCCCCTCTACACTGTACAAAGATGGCAGTCATCTTTCTACAATGCAAATTTCACCTTACCACTCTCCAGTTATCCACCTTTCATAGCTTCCAATCGCCCTTAGGATGAAGAACAAAATCCTAGCAC